CTAACCTTGATGAGAAAGAAGCATATCGACTACCTGGCTCATTTTAGGTCTTGAATCTCTGTCTTCCTCTGCACAGTGCAATGCCACTTTAACCAGAGTTTCTGCCACATCTTTCTCAAATTCTTCATTAATGGAAGGATCCACAATTTCTTCAATCCATGAAACTCTTTCCTCAGAATTTTGTATTTTTCCCCTCACCCAATTTACCAAACCACTCTCATTGTCATTTGCTGGGCTTCTTCCTGTTATTAACTCTAATAACACAATCCCATAGCTGTATACATCAACTTTTGACGTGATAGGTAGATTATATACCCACTCAGGAGCCATGTACCCTCTGGTTCCTCTGATTCTTGAAAAGTTTGACTTCTCGTTTCTATTTCTATTAATTAATTTGGACAGGCCAAAATCTGCAACCTTTGGCTGGAAATTGGAGTCCAAAAGTATGTTCTGAGGCTTAACATCGCAGTGCAAAACCCACTCCAAACACTCTTCATGCAAGTAGGCAAGACCTTTTGCAGTACCTACAGCAATTTCAAACCTTTTCTGCCACTTAAGTTTATTTGCATACAAAGAGTTTGATAAAGATCCGAGCTCAAGGTACTCGTAAACCAAAAGCTGATGTTTACCGTCAGCACAATAACCCCATGTCTCGATCAAATTCATGTGGTTAAGTCTGCCAATTATGCTTATTTCAGCAAGGAATTCACCTTCTCCCTGTTGAGCTTCACATAGGAATTTAATGGCTGCTATTCGGTTATCCGACAGTGTGCCTTTGTATACAACGCCACTGCTTCCTCGTCCGATTTCTTCATTAAATCCACGCGTTGCCTTCTTGAGCTCGGCATAGGTGAATCTCTTGAATCCTACTCCAACTTGAAGATAGCCTTGCGAGGTGGCATTAGTGGGCAGTCGGGTTGCGAAGAAGCAAATGAGCAAAATGATGATTTCAGAGGCTCCAACTCCACAAGCACACCAGAGCAAGTGCGTGATCCACTCATGTTCTTTTTTGTACACAATGTTAACTGGCGTAACACGGTCTCTGCAATTGAGTTCAAATTCTGGAACATGGTTCTTGTAAGTAGTTAGACTAGATTTCGGTACTTTTATGTAAGCTGGATCCTGAAAAGTCAGCGACTGGTATCCGTTAAACAATAATGTTTTGGGGAAGCAATTGTAAGTGCCACTTTGTATATCGTATTTATACTGAAATCCTTGGCAATCACAGTATCTCCGACAAATATTTTTGCAGGACTTTATGGTGATATTATAGTATACTTTAATATCATAGCCATAAAATTCAGCATGATGAACTTCGAAGAAACCAATCGAATTATTGTCCGAACAAGACAGCTTGAAATTTCGTTCACATCCATAGGACCAATCTGTGTCATTTTTCATCTTGTATCCGGGTAAACAAGTGCATCTCCTCCCTGACAGATTATTAACATAAGTACACAGACTGTTTGCTCCACAAACTCCATGGATTTTGCATGGTTGAACTTCAGCTTGCCATGTAACATTCCAACTTCCATGCTTCTGGTTCAGACTATACACCCGAAGGTTGCCATCAGGATCTAGTGTTAATCTCCTCTGAGGTCCCATACCGTAATCTTCAGTTAAAAAATTGAAGGTGTCTGAAGATGTGAAATTTCCCAACAGATCAAGTGTGGCTACCTTAGAAGTATTGTAGGTCAATCTCCCTCCGTCACAGCTGCTCAACCATGGAGGTGGCCAGAACACACTGCTTATCCCAAGACCTTTGTAAACAAGGCGGAGGACATTGTCATCGTCAAAGAAGAGCTTGTAAAAACCAGAAGAGTAATTAGTTTGGCTTCTGTAGGAAACTAGATTGCCATTTTCTGTAAGTAATTGTTGGGGAAGAAGCGTGTTTGTAGGTGAATCAAAACTTTGCCAAATAGTTTTTTGATGCAAAGTGCCTGTTAGAATAAGATTGCCGGAGTCATGGAGTTGCAATTGAAGGGGGGATCGAGAATTTGTGTCACTTGTCCAAACTGTGAACTGACCTGCATCTCTTAACACAAGATTGCCTGATTTCAGAAGGGAGAATTTTGTGTATCTGCCATTAACAGGTTGATCTCTGTTGGCTATCCAAACTAAGGTGTGATTTTCATTGGAAAATGGCATACTATACCATATTGCAAAAACATAAGCGTTTACTCCAATGGGGTAAAATCCAGCTGTGAAAATGCCATTTGGTGATGAAACAAGAACATCTTGTGGTGGGGAGAGAGATGAATCTTGATTCAGAATATTGGTTTTGGAGGGTGATGAAAATGGTATAAAGAAAGCAAGTAAGGTAATGAAAAATTTCACTTCCATGATGAATTCTTGATTGATGAATTTGGAGTTGCGATAAGCTTTATAGGCCCATTTGCGTGGTTTAGACGGAGTCAGTCAAGAGTATATGCCTTAGTCCAATTAGCCAGCAGTGGTTGACAGACCTCAATATGATCCACACGGTGACTAACAATAAGGAGCGCCGACCTTTATACAACATTAATCTATAAGGGACTTCAGCACGACCTAAATCAAAGTGATTTTACAATGAAATTCCTCTCTTGATAAATAATACAAACAAATTAAGTACTAAGAGAGGCTAATACTTCAA